TTGCCTTGTGTATCTGCTTGTTCCAATATGATTCGATAGCTTTATGTGGTCTTAGTTCTCCGTATGATTGGTGTCCTCTTGTGGAGTCATTGTGGTTGAAATTTGCAGTGTGCGTTTTTCGCACAGTTTTCACCACACATGGAAAGCGAACAAATCGTATTTTTGCGTCGGTAACCTTTGCAGAACCGACTTTGAGAGAGAAGCTGTAGTAGCTTTACTTCCCAGGTTCACCATTCATGATGTGACATTTTAGGCCAGCGAATGGATGTCTGCTACAGTGAGCGACTGATGAAAACCATCGCTACCAAGAACGAGCGACCGACCCGCTTATGCCGTTGACGCCCTTTTGATATCTCACCGTTTCTAAAAGGCCCCATCTTTCTACTGCTGCATGTGAATCTTAAGGTACCTTAGATACATCTAAACCCTCAGTCATTCATAAATACATGCATTCACCACCACTGTCGCCTTTCCCTCTTACAAACATCATGTGTACGGGCTCAATGCCTCGTTTTGCCTCTTACTAAACTGATTCCGTGGTAGAAATGGAATCACCACTGGTTGCATGCAACTAAATGGAGTGGCTGCTGCACCTCATGTCGTGCATAATTGGCGTCAATGCGATGGTCCAATTTGCCGTCATTGTTGAACATGATTTGCCTTTACTGTGAGACCATGCTAGGATGAAGGACTTGTAAGAAATCGTAGTTACTACTCAACTTTCCACCAAATCCGTTTGAAGGCGGAGAAGTGAGTCGGACCTAAAATAGAGGCAGAATGGAGGTCAAATGAGGTAGATTATTTTTTTAAACTACAGCATTATTTGTTGTAGGAATAATACTACTAATTGGGCGGGTTGGTTGCGTTGGAAGAAAGGTGTCGTATTTGAAGCACAAGTCAGAGGGGAATGAAAGTGTTGATGAGCAACATCTAAAAGTAGGCGTATGCGATCCATTTGAACGTGAAAGGTGATTGGAAGAGCAGTATCAAGGATGTTTTGCGCAATCAGAT